ATTGTCTTAAAAGTTATTGAAGGCAGCCATTAGAGGCCCTTTAGTGTCTTTACAAATGTAAATTACTTATATTTAAGCAGAAAAAATAGAAAACTTAAATAAAATAAAATGAGAAATAAATAAAGCATAAAAATGGTTATGCATTTATGTACTGTCTGCTCAAGTAAACAAATTTTCTGCATGACAAAGTTGAGCCTTCACACGCTTGTATGTATGTGCACGCGTTAGAAGGCACGCTGTAACGTAAATAAACCAATAATACACCAAAAAATAATAGATATATATTTTAACAATTTTTTTTATTTTTTTTATTTTTTTTTTTTTTTCTATATTTATTTCTGCCGTTCATACAGCGATTTTCATTAATTATATTACTTAATTAGTAATTGGCATCTTCATTAAAAATTAAATGAAATTGGATTTGGCTCAAAGGTGTTAAATGCAAAACCTTGATTTATTTTTTTAATAATTCAAGCCAAAGGCGATGAGAAAATTAAGAAAAAAAGGGCCTAAAATTCACGGTCATTTGTAAGTAATGAGGGAAATATGTAAAATAAAATACTTTACCAGCCATATATCTATAACTGTATAGTTGGCCGATACATACATATATACCTACTAATTTGTAAATTGCAAGACTGAAATATAAATTAGACATTTCCGTTGCAATGGAACATCAACAGGCATACAAACATACCATAAAGAATTACAAAGCATAAAATACATTATGCCGCCAAAAAAGTAAATGAAAAAATCGAAATTATCTGAAATTCAAGCAAGTACTTAAAAATATTAGTTGATCTGCATAAATATTATAAGTTTTTCTATTTAAGTGTAAAAAAAATTTAAAATTAAGCTTAGAAAAAATTATCAATAATTAATTAAATAAAAAATAAATCTATTTATTATTAAAAATTTCGTGGTTTAATAAATACAACGCTGTATTTTGACTAAACTGACAAACCAGACATGTTTTGTTTTAGTTAAAGAGGAGGCAATTATGTAATTGGATCGCTCAACAATAGCGAAACGCGTTAATATCGTTAAATCCTGGATTGAAAATGCAAATGACCACGTTTCGTGCTTCAAGAGGAGATTACGGTGCACATAATCATCGAACTACTCAAACAATTGGTAAAAATTTAAGGAAATTTGAGCAGCCTAAATAAGTTAGAGATATTGCATGACCATCTTTCCACCGCCACAATCACTACTGTAAGCGAAAGTGTAGCCGAAGACCCGAATGCATCTACATATTTCTTCACGTTGTCCATATAAAATCCAGCTCATGCAACAAATGAATCTAACTGACCAACAAGCAGTGAATAGCGATTTTTCAAATAAAATTTTCTTCAGCGACGAGGCCATACGTAAGGAAGCAAAATTCTCGTAAGTTGGGACTTCGAGAAACCACAAATCGAAGAGAGGCCAGTACACCGAAAAAAAGGCACTGTCTGGTGAGCTCTTTAGTCGAATGAAGTGGGTAACTTGTGCATTGTGATTATGTTTAGGCAAAGTATTGGGAAGATTTTCTGGAGAAACACAAATATATGCACTTGTTTAAAATTAGGGACATCATTTTATCACATCACACCATCCCACTAAATTCTTCAGTTCAAGTTGAGAAAGAAGCTTGACATCATCTGCGTACTTGAGTGTTTTAGAATGAAGATCTACATTTGGAAGCTCATTGATGAATATAAAGAAGAATAAAAGCCGAAATGACTGCCCTGAGGAACACCAGATGTAACTGCTATTTTCCGTAATGTACAACAATTAAAAATAACTTTTTGCTTTCTACCAGTCAATCACGAAAAAATCCAATTAGGAAAGGAAGAAGGAAACCTGAAATGATGCAGTTAAAAGTGAGGTGAAGAATGAGAGGCCTCGTCAAATGCTTTGCTAAAGTCAGTGTGGTTAATATCAGTTTGATAACCAATTTTGACACCATTTTTGACTGCAATTAAAGACCCTGACTTGGACAATATGTGATTTCAACAAGATGGTGCCACAAGCTACACAATAGGCGCTATTGTGAGAACAATTACCCGATTATGTGCCAAAAATTGGATCAAAAATTTGCGATGTGGTGAAGTGGAACATATAACCACAAGGTTCAAACTTAATAATAAGAAAGGAATTTCAAAAAAATAAATAAAATCTATTGTTATAATTTGTTCACTATTTCCAAAAAATGTATGGTCTGAAACAGTTTATGGAACTGAAAACAAAGCAGAAATTTTTTGAAATACATTTTGTTTACGCTCATTTTCGAAAGTGCAAAATGGACAACCCTGTGCTAACAAAAGTCAACTTTAAACAATACAATGTCTGCTCCGTCTGCTTGTACCACCTCAGTTAAAATCATTTATAATTTCAGTCAACAGCGCCATCTGGCGATTGTTATTGTACATAAGCGACATTTTATTTGTTACCAATAGACATTTCGGAGAAGAATCGAATTTATATTTTTTAATTCTCAAAATGTTACAAATTAATTTATTTTTAGATTGTTATATGTATATTTATAATAATTATGCTTTGCATACATACATATATAGTACAATATATATGCATACATATTATTTTATATTTAATGTAAATATCCCAAATGTATGCACACGTGCGAAAAGGTATATGTTTTCTTGGATATGTATGTATATTTAAATATTAATGTTTTTATATATGTATGTATGTATATATTCCTACATACGAACAAGCATACAAATACATATGGGTCTGCCCAAGATATTTGCATTGACGTCAAGTTTCAGCCAGTTTCTAAGTGTCCGCCATGACTTGTTTTAGTTGATATTATGAAATCGACACCGTAAACCAGTTCAGTAACTGACATTTTTTTTTTTTTTTTTCAATATAAAACATTTGAATTTGAGTTAGTAACACATAAGAAGCAATAAGAGCAAAAATATTAAATATAAAATAGAAAAGTGGTTTGCTAGACACATAGATTTTTGTGTATGATCAAGCAGGATTACTTATCCATACACGTATGTATGTGCATACATTGTATACAATATATGAAAACTAAAATCAAATTTTTAGTACTAATCTTAATCTTAGTTTTTTTTTTTTTTTAATTGGTTTGCTTAATAGGTAATTAAAAACTATGAATTAACAACGAAAAAATATTTTTTTCTCACGAATTTACTATGAAAAGGTTTTCGATATAAATCTTCATTGCAGCTGTACTTCTCTTCACTAAATCCTCGGGTTTTTGAGTTGAATTAAAAATCGTAATTTTACTGACCAATTGAACTTCTACAAAGTTTCCTTATGACTCTTCATCTTAACCCTATAATGAACTCACCATAACATATAGAAATCTTCATAACTAGTTAAGCGTTTTAAGCTTCTCGCAAAGAAATAATTTACGATTAACAAATCATAATTAAATCATAAAAAGCCAATTTTTATGCGAGTTTAATGTTTTAAGCTCATTTTGAGTTAACCAAATCCGGTCAGATTTGCATAGCGAACAAGTTTGCTCAAAAATAAACGCAGAGTTAATGCATATTTTACTTGGCAGTAGTAATAGTTCAGAGAATCTCAATATCTGCATAAGTTTTGTTTAGTGTTTTTTTAATGGGGAGGTGAGTATTTCTCAAACTCGTATTTTTTGTAGAAATATTTGTGGCTTCTCTTGGAGCAAACTTTCATATTAATTAATTTAATTAAATGTGTGGTACTTGGAAATATAAGTGGTCTCGAAGAATCTGCCTTTTTAAAATTTCAATACATTAAAAAGGAAGCTTATGCTAAAAATTTGATTACGGACGGCAGGCTAGCCGTAGACTCATTCAAGAACTCCTAAGAAGTTCTGTCCCCTCTCGCTTCAACAAAGGATTAACTACTGAGGCTGAGCTGTCTCGGACATCGAACAAAATCGAAATTATTGAACAGATTAACGAAAGGGCTCTCTCTGCTTTGTTAAACGCAATTTTTGGAGGAAATTTTCCTTGAATAAATAATTCTGTTTCGTTTCAGCGTCCTTTTGCCGCACCGAAATGAAATTGTTAATGCTGAAACCGCACAAACTCACTGCTGATGTTATTTTTAAAATGTCTGCTTGCTATGATATTAACAGCACACTTCAATGTTAACGTTTAACATTATCTGTTACCGATTTAACATTGCCGACAGCAATTCGTTACAGGAAAAACAAGATACAATTCTTTTAAGGATAACATTGCAATGTGTTTAAACCGAATCGATTAAGTTTTTTTTTTTAAATAATGTGAAATAATGAGTAAAAACGTGAGAATTGTATAATATTACTAATAAAATTTTTCAAATATTTTTATACGTATTTTTAAGATATTTAAAGTGAAATTAAAACAAAATATCATTAAAAATCAATTTTAAATGCGTGTTTGAGACCAAAAAATTAAATAAAATCAACCAATCTGTTGCTGAACTAAGTGTATCGTATTTACGAGTATTATATTGATTCCAATGCTGATATGACAAAAAATACTGATTATTAATTTTTTTTTATCGAAAATGTCTAATTCTTTTATGGCGAATAGAAAGAGGTAGATACCAATATTTCAACAAATAGAACAAAATTACATCGGTAACTTCTTTTCCGCAATGCGAGTAAGAAAATTATATCAGCATATCCATTGTTGAGATTTTTTGTTAATAAAAATAGTTGCAAATCTTTTCAAAATATTTTTTTATTGAAAAACTTAATTTTTAATCGTTAAATTTTTGTTAAAAATTCTTTGAAAGCTTGCTTAAATGAATTTTCTCTAGAATATTATTAGAATGTGTCTAACATCTAATATTCTTTAATATTTCTTTAATAATTATAATAAAATTTCTTGAAAATATATTTATTTTAATATTTTAATTCTCATATTAAAAAAAATGTATGATACGAAAAAAATTTCCTCTCGTAATCAAAAGTAGAAGGCTTGCTAAAAGCAACCGTAACCTTTAAGCAAGCCTTCTGCAGAGCAACAACTATTTTTACTTACCGCATGCCATCAAAACCATCATCCGAGCCATTTATTGTGAGCACTGGTGCGCGTGCGTATGCTTTCGCCACGCGACGATTGCGTTCGAAGACAATTACTTTTGCCCAAATCTCATCATCGATTTGTGTCCATTTGTCTAAGACTTCTTGTATGTGCTCCTGGAGAGGGGAGAGAAAACCAAAGAAAAAAGAAAAAATTAACAAAACGTAAAAAGAAAAGTGAAAAAAAATTAAAAAAAAAAATATGTATATATATATAAAATGGAAAGAAAATTTAAAACAATTAAATTGCACATTAAAATTTAAATTACCAAAAGGCATGCATTAAACCGAGCTAAAGCATATAAAAAATCAGATAAAAAACTTTATTGACGCTAAAAGTAATAGCGTAAATTGTTTGCCATATCGCCTGCATACAATATTATCAATTGCTTTCAATCATATTGCCAAATTCACACTTTCATTTTCATATAATTACGTATGCAGCAATAAAGTCAACAATAAAATACGGCTGAATGGTATAGAAAATGCTTTATTGCAACACTCCACAATAACTAGCTAACATATTGTACATACACACTCCTATATACATAGATATGTGCTTATAAATGCTGCCAACCAAAGCAAGCCGCTCCTAAGACTTGTGCTTATTGCAGGCGAGCAGCAATACTTTGTGGCGTTTTTGCACTGCTCTGATTGTTGTTATTATTGCTTTTTTTGTTACATTTGTTGTTGTTGCAGTGAACGGCCTTGTGTGTAATTTAACTTTTACCCATGCAAAGACATAAATAAAATCTGCTAATCTTAAATATATATCACAATAATAATAACATAAATAACAACAAATGCAAAGGCAAAGTGCCACAGCCGCCTGCTGCCAATGCGCTCGATAGCAATCGAATGCGCTCAAACTTACATTTACATGCCAAAATGCACTCGCTTGTTATTTGCTCGCTTTTATTTTAACTTTTATTTAATTTTTTCATTTTTTCATTATTTTTATAAAATTTTCGTTTGTTTTTCTCGTTATTATTGCCAATTGATAAATGTTGCAATGTGCTCTGCTTATGGCCGAGCACAGCGAGCGCCCACAGCTGTTCAGTGTTTATTTTTGTGCTTATTATTTTTACCAATTTTCGCAAAGTTAATAGTTTTTGTTTACTTATACATTTTTATTTTCAATATTTTTTGTCTTGCCGCAAGTGCAATCGTTTTGAATAAACCGCGAAAATGAAATGTTTATGCGAAAGTAGAAAAAATCTCTCTGGTTTTGCAGCTGATTTTTATAACGAGTAGTTCACTCTTCAGTCGGTGCTCCTCTTTACTCGCTCAGCTGTATTTACTGAATTACAACGATTCGATGCTTACTCCTTGTAGCCATTAATTTTCGGCAATAAAATGTGTAGCGTTTGTTTTAAAGACAATTTTCATATCATAAAAAAGACCAAGTCTCGATCTACATATACGTGTATATATATATATACAAAAAATATATAAAATATGATTCTTTTCTGTATATTTGCTTACTCTGAAACTCGCCCAAAACTTTCCCTGAAAATTGGTCAATTTGTTCATTTGGTTCCAGGTAAGTTTGGTATAAGAAAATTATTCAGGAAACTGATTACGATGGATCTATGTGAAATTATTGTATTTATATTAGGTCAAGTAAGAAGTTCGTTCGGTTTTTAAGAGATGGTGTTATTGTCCATAGTAGTCTTTGAAAGATTTTCGATTGATTGACTCAGTACGTTGTGAGCGCTCGTCAAAGATGGACATCAGCAAAGAGAAAATTCGCTATATTTTACAATTGCTCTTCGATCAAGGCGAAAAGCAGCCAAAGTAGCTGAAAAACTTAATTTAGTTTATGGGACCGATACTGTAAACGAACGTGTTGCACAAAGGTGGCTCGCTAGGTTCCGTTCTGGTAATTTCGATGTCATAGATGCACCACGCCACGGGAGGCCAGTCATCGAAAATTGCGATAAAACCATGGAAATTGTGAAAGCAGAACCATTTGCATAACCTTGGATTCAAAAAGAAGCTCGATATTTGGGTGCCACACCAAATAACGCAATAAAAACATGATGAATTGAATTTCCATCTGCGAATCGCAGCTGAATCGCAACAAAATTGACCCGTTTCTGATTGTGACAGGCGGATTGTGGCTGGCGATGAAAAATGGGTCACCTACGACAACATCGAGTGCAAACGGTGGCGGTCAAAGCTCGTGGAAGCTGCCCAGACGGTGGCCAAGATCGAATTGATGGCCAGTAAGGTTTTGCTGTGTGTTTGGTGGTATTGGCAAGGAATCATCTACTACGAGCTGTTCCCCTATGACCACACGCTCAATTCGTCCCTCAATAAATGGACCGCTTGAAGGCAGCACTGATCCACAAGAGTCCAACTTTCATCAGCAGAGGCGGAATTGTGTTCCGTCAGGACAACGCCAGGTCACACACGTCTTTGGTGACGCGCTAAAAGCTCCAGGAGCTCGAATGGGAGGTCACAATGTACCCACCTCTATGTTCAGACCTGGCACCAAGTGATTACCATCTTTTCCTGTCCATGGCGAACGCGCTTAATGGTGAGAAGTCTCCAAGTTTTTTGCCAATAGGGACGCAGCCTTCTACGAGAGGGGTATAATGAAATGAACGAACAAAACGACGCATATTTATCATATTTTGAAAAATCTATAAAAAAAAAAACCTAGCCAACTTTTTACTTGACCGCGCGTTAATTTCGTTTATATATGTGTATGTAGTTCACGGCTAATTAAGGACAATAGATTTTTTGCAATCTTTTTTTCCATAATAATTATTCATTAATGATGATTACGAGAAGTATTTTGGAGACCAATGCTCAGAACAAAATGAGTTTATGCAGAGACACACACACACACAGACTGCTTAATGGGTATCAAAATGAAATATCCGAAGATAACGAAGCAGAGTACAAAATCGATATAGAAGTAGACTACTTTCTATCACCCGATTCAGCTAAAGTCCGAACAGCAATTAATCGCACGAAAAAAAGAAACGACGGAAACCGATAATTCCCGCTAAGCCGGTAAATTTGTGAAGTGCATACCACAGCTTCTTTGCAACTGCAGCATACCCTCTTCTAAAACCAACACCTCTATTAGAGGCACACCTCGCTTGTGCGGTTATCTTTTCTTGCCCCAAGTTTTGAATGCAATTTTCGAAGCGGACTCTCGCTAGAGCGGCCGCGGGCATGCAACTTCTACTGAGTGGACATGAATATTTTTTCAACCGAGAAAGAGATTATTTTTTCATAACAAATGCAACCAAAACCTTTGTCGGGCGGACATGAACTCCTTATAGGTGGGCGAAAGTAAAAAAGTCAATGGAATGATTATTAGATACTGACATTAAACTGGTAGCGAATATATATGTATATTAACGAAAGAAAAAACAGGCGAATTTTGTTAATTAAAACTTCTTTCTATTCTGACATAGCTACCCTTTGGCAGAAACCTCTTCTGAGTGGACAAATCTACCCAATGGGGAGTATACGTCTAAGGTAGAATTTACTGTACCTGGTCAAATGAGAAAATGGGATTCCTTACTTTACGCCAATTTTTGTGTGATAAACCTGCTCGACCTAAGGTACAGTGTAAAAGTTATGGTTCGATCGGAATTTATGTGTATAAACTAACGCTAAACAAAAACAAATATTTTACCAGAATAGGGAAGGTTTTCAACGATATCAAGAACTATTGCCACGCCTTCAATACTCAATGTGGCATCGTTTCAAATGCGTCTGGTAGTAAAAGAGGAAAAACATCTCACATCTGGGCGGTTACGTCAATGGTGATAGGAATGTCTTTGCTGTCATGAACCAACAGCAATATCGGTCAAGTTGCTATTTGGGATTGAGTACGCAATTGAAAAGCAATCCGGAGTCGAATGCATCACTAGAGCAAGAGTTGTGTTTAAATCTAGGGGCGCAAGCAAAAATGTAATATACTCGTAAATTGCCTCATTAGGAACAACGATTCAGCCTTTACTTTCAATCAAAGTTCTCAGCATGTCAGGATTTAGCTGGGCAGTGACAGAAAAATGGTAGTTTTAGGAATTTCAGTCCCAGTTATTGTCGAAAACATGTCGTAATGAGCAGTTTTTAACTGGAAATCCCTTCTTAAAATATGCCAGAGAGTGCTGCTGGTAGACTTTTTGAGATATAAAATATTTGCGTAAGTTACGCCGATGGAAAGAGCGAAAGTGAAAGAGCTGCACTATGTTGGAAAGACTAGAGGAGATGGACCGTACTGTAATAACGACAATGAATGAAGCTTTATATAAATTCTTTTCATTCTTTTTGTTAAAAAAAAAAACTATTAACGTAATTTAAAAATTATATAAATTTTACATTTTTTCTTTGTCACACTTCATACTCATCGGAAAGTGCGCTTTTAGCATTTTCGTCATCTATGACTTGACTCATATTTTTACCATCATTTTATTTTTTTTTTTATCTTTTACTACTCATCAATTATATTTATTCTCCAAACCGTAAAATAATTGAACATATCTCAGCGGAAGATTTCTTTGGGGTGCAGCAAGTGCACGATTTCTATGAGCGCACCTAGGAATTTATTGATTAAGCGCATCTTTTTTAGCAAAATATTCAAAAATAATATAAAATTAAATTAAATTATAAGAAAAAAATGTACGATTTTTTTTATAATTTTACTAAAACTTGAATCTTTTGATTTTTATAAAGAAAAAATATTAGTTAAAGAAATTTTTTGATAACAGAGCGAGTAGCGTGTAGAGAGACTAACTCGGTCGAGTAGTTGCTCGCTTTATCTAAAGAAAAAAGCGCGTTCTTAGCAAAAAATCGAGTTATGGAATGTTCGAGTGGCGAATAACATGCGCTCAGTGCTGCCAAAGTTAATCAAATTCAAAATTTTATCGCAGTCTGCAGTTTTCGGCCACTTGTTTACCATGTGACACTCTGAATAAATAATTTTTATTCATACTCGCCGTCATACTAGTCTAGTCCAGTCTCTATTTTTTTGTTGGCTTAGAAACAACGTGTGTTTGTATGCATTTGTATGTCCATTTCTGCTAAAAAAAAATGCATATAAATCAAGTGACTAAAACCTGTTAACCTTTTCATACAATTTTTGTATCAAA